CCACGCAGCCTGCTGTTTGGTCGACTGGTTGTTTTGGTTGTCATGGTCATTGCCTTTTTATATATATAGGTAACTTTATGCCAGTTATTGAACTCGCCCATGTTCATTGTCCTCCTCTATAATGTGTTCCTATAATAGTTGCTGATAAATGATTATTATAATAATTAAGCCTATCTGGATTCTATGATTGTTTTTAGATTCATATTATGTGTAAATAGATAAACCCTTACTTTTTATAAGGATTATATACTTATAATTAAATTTAGAGTATGGAAATCATCAAAATTTTGTTTAAGATGAAGATTCAAATTGGGATTTAAATTGCTAAAATATTCTTCTCTTGCCCCATTTACCCTCCCATTTGAAAGCTGGTATTACTGTTTTATGGTGAGAGGAGGGGAGAGAAAAATAAGAAAAAGAATTGCCTATTACAGTGTTCATCTTATGTGGGCCAGTATAATCTAGTTGAAAACCTATCATATTTAACAGTTTCTTCAGGAAAATGTATTCTGAGTTCCAAGTAGCTAATTTGTAAGCAAACTATTGGAACAAAGTTTATTTGTAAATTGAATATTTTTTTTCAAAATGCAGCAGATATTATTTTTGGTGGGTTTTCCATGAATTCTTAAACACATTTCATTAGTGCATGCCTGTAAGATTTTATTAATGTAATTAACTAGTGATCATTTAAATCATCTACTTCAAAATTTTACTCATTTAGGGCAAAGATTTTTTTTTCAAATGGTCTATTTAGTTAAGATTCCTAAAATGTTCAAAGATATGGCTTTACAATCAGTAGTCACTGGTACAGAAAAGTTAGGCAGCTTATTTTGTGAGAAAAAATTTCCTTAGTAATATCCAGCTCCTATTCTAGAGAGTTCAGTAACTATGGATTTAAGAAATATTTTTTTGTGTGTGTGGGAATAAATTTTTAACAGAAGTTATCAGTTAGTTTTTATCTTTCAAGACCATAGGCTTCTGTTTTGAGTTGTTTCTAGAAGCCAAGGGGCTAAAGAAGAATGGAAAGTGCTGATAAAACCAGGTTACTTCAAAGAAAGTATGACATTCAGAATTTATGATTATGTTTTCCTAAGTCTATTTTAATAATTATTGAAATTCTCCATGGAATATCATCATTCTTGAAGAAGCAAAAGCAAAGAGGATGGTTAATATCTCGAAAAAGGAATATAAGTAGCTAAACTATTCTTTATCTAAGAAATTATAGTCTAAAAATAAATTGTTCAGAGAGAAAAGAGTAGGCCCCATTCTGGTTTTTGAAAACAAAAGAAAACCATAAAAATATTTCTGGGAATGGGTAATGACTGAGAATTTTGGCTTTTTCAGCAAATTTTTTTGTTTGCAGAATATAAGATTTTGTTTGAAAAAAATTCATGGCACTCTTTGAGGCAAAAGATTGCCCACATACTGCTGTTTTGGTTGCTCTGTTGCCAGATGAAGTGAACTAGCAATTATCAACTTTTCTCCTGCTTTTCTTTTTTTATATGATTAGTTTTTGTATCTGTAATTTGTAAATATATATTATAAATATGTAGAAAAAGATCTGGCCACATAAACATTACATTTAACAGTAGTATGCTACCTGTGGAAGGTGAGGGGTAAAACAGAATAAAGTAGAACTTTCAGTTTTTTCTCTGTGTACTTCTGTACTTGAGCTTAAAAAAAAAAGGGATTGTTTGTTCTTTTCAGCAATTAAAGTTGGAAAGGGAAAAAGTGGTATAGGAAAATAAATTATTATTATTTTTAATCCTAACCTGAAGATATGTTTTTATTGATTCTAGAGAAAGAGGAAGGGAGAGGGAGAGAGAGGGAAAGAAACATTGATCGGGTGCCTCCCATGGACGCGCCCGGATCAAGGATCGAACTTGCAGCTTGGGTATGTGCCCTGACTGGAAATCGAACCTGCAACCCTTCGGTGCACCGGTCAATGCTCCAACTAACCAAGCCACACCAGCAAGGGTGGAGAATAAATTATTTTAAAAATTATTTAATACTGTTGAAATTCTTATGTTTTATGGCAGATTTAAAAAAAGCGGAGATGTAGAACTAATGGTGGGAACAAAGATTGTATTATGTTTTAATATACAGTATGATCTTTAGAAATATTGAAGTGTTTTATATACCCGTTGACTGAATTATCGATGGAAACTACTCTTTAAAGTCCTTGTAATTCAGAATATTATTTGTTGCTCAATAGTTTTGAGTATTTCAGAATGCTCCTTGCATATAAGTATCTTTAGTCAGTGTAGTTATAAAGTATGCTCATTTTCATTTTCTGTAGTTGTATTTAATTTCCTTTAACCACAAAGATTAGGGGAAATGAACCCCTCTCAATTATCCCAATCCCAAAGTGGTCTCTGTTCTCCCTTTTAGGGATTTTTTTCTCTATTTTGATGGCACTATTAAGATAGAATGATGCAAAGGTGAAATGTTAGTATTTTATTAATAACCAACTAATTAATAATAAAATTGGTAACTTATTAATTTTATTAATAAGGATCAAAAAAATTCTTCTCCTGTTTCATTTTTCTCAGTTAGCTTATTCCATAAGCCAACTAAATTTTTGGGGAAAATCAACTTTTCCCTTACCATTAGAATTTTTCTTTTTTTCTTTGTCATATATATTTTTTGTTATGTATAGTTTATTGAGTATTTATTAACTGTCAGGCACTAGGGTTAGAGAACAAGTTAGGCTAAATTCCTGCCCCAATGCAGTTTACATCCTAGTGGTGGTTACAGAAAATGAACACATAAAGAAAGAATGAATTTCAGATAATGCTAAGAAAGGAGTAATGTGTGGCCCTAACATATATCTACTTGGCCACGATTACAACTTGATGATTACATTCTAAAAGGTGTAAATACTTAAAAGTTATGAATCAAGGTAAATCCTTGTTGTAATCTTAGTTTCCACTCTTCATCTTGAGTTCTCTGAAGCCTGCATTCTCAAGACCCAGAGGCTAAAAGAGCTGCTTTCTTCTCTGGCCAGCCTTTCCACTTTCTAGTCTGATTAGTAGCATGGATTTGTTGGGGCAGGGCAGGAATGATTGGGTGGTATCTAGATCCATTTTCAATTTCTGTAGTTGGATTTAATTTCCTTTAACTACAAACATTAGGGGAATCCTGTCAAGACCCCAGGAATCTGGTACGGAGAGGTTAACCTCTTCAGTTCCTTGCTCTTCTAACTCAAGACTTCTAACTTCTTCCTCATATTGCACTACCCAGGAGAGAGGAGAGAGGGGATGCAGGTATCTGGGAAACCAGTGTAGGCAATCACTTTGGTAGATTTGGGGCAGCCAACTTTAACTGGTTAAAGTTTTTATAAGTAGTCACTCTTTCTAGGACTTCTTGGGCGTAAATTGTGGTAGTTTTCTCCTTTCTCTGCATATTCATATGGGGGCACTCTCAGTTCTTCAACCTTTGGCTTGGGGCCCTCCTTCAGCTAGTACTTCTCTCTTATAATTCCCATTTGTGTAATTGCTTACTGAACTTTCAAACTTTCTTACAAGGTTAAAGGGGAAAAAAAAGCCTTAGTCTTGTGATTGTGGCAGAGGCTTTTCTTGCCCAAGTTTAAGGGTGATACTGGACTGAGAATGAAGGTGACCATAGACTACTCTTTTACATGCCTCTTTGACTCTCCCTATCCTGCTACCTCTGAATCCTCCTAGTCCCCAACTCTATTTGTTTTAATTTGTAAATTTGTTTAATTTGGTAAACCAAATTGGTATTCCTTGGAATACCTACATCTGAAAAGTAGCTTCCAAGTGAAAAATGAACATTTTCCAAAGACTTTTTGTAAGATTTTAAGTAGCAATGACTAATTTTCCAACCCTAAAAAAGCCCACCCAAACAACCCCCCCCCCGCATCAGAACATAAAAAGGAAAACTACAATCTTGTACATTTGAATACTAGTTTAAAAGTTATATTGTATTTTTCTCTGAACAGGTGTGAAAGTTGTGTGGATTTACTATTTGTGAGAGGAGCTGGAAACTGTCCTGAGTGTGGCATTCCTCTTAGAAAGAGCAATTTTAGGGTACAACTCTTTGAAGATCCTACTGTTGACAAGGAGGTTGAGATTCGGAAAAAAGTGCTAAAAATGTAAGTATTATTGCTTGAATGATTCATTCCACAAAGAGGATTTTAAAAATAAATATTTCAGTAATTGATATCATTATTTCCAGATAGAAATGTGGACAGTTTGACAAGTATAAATTCATCTATGTATTTGTTCAACAAACATTAAGTTTTTAGAGAACTCAGAAATATTAATTATCCTTTATTAGAGAAGAGTAGATCCTCTTGATTGATCGCTTCACAATCCATTTATTTGCTATTTTTACATTAACTTAGTTAAATACTTGAGTACCTACTATGTACAAACACTGCATTATATATATTATGCTCTAGATATGGAAAGAGTAAGACAGGTATTCTGAAAAGCATGGTAGCATAGGGTAGCTAGAGGTAGACAATTTAAAATAGGTAAACAAAAAATGGGATTATAAATTGAGATAAATGCTGTGAAGTTAATGACTGAGTGTTGATGTGGGTCAGTGATGTCATATAAGGCCTGAGGGGGTAACATTTAAGTTGAGATCTGAAGGCCATTAGAAAAAATCATATGTTAGCTATAATTTATTTTGATATATAGAATGTCCCAAAAATATATATACACTTTGAATGATTATAAAGTCAGTATTTATTAACATACAGTTCATTTTCAAAATTTAAAAGAATCTACATAAATGAGTAATTTTTTTTGTCAATGCCTGTTTGCAAACTGATGACCGTTCTGGTTCAGGCCTGGCTGATAATATGAAGCAATGAAATCACAAACATCAAGAATCATTTCGTTTGGTATTAGTGTGCTCTCAATTCATCAACTTTTGCCAGTTTTGTACTGTAAGCATTATCTTTTATGTATCCCTATGAAAAAGCCTAATGGGTAAGTTTTCTTTGTTCAAAGCTTAGTCTAGCTTCACCCATTATTTCAAATCAGTTAAATTGGAAAAGGAGTGAAAATTAAATGAGTTATCCACTATTAAAATTTGTATACATTTTTTGGGGGGACACAGGCTGTCCCCCCAAAATATATACACACTGGATAATTATAAAGGCAGGGTTTGTACTTAAACTGTGTTTTCAAAGTTCCAGTAGCATTTTAGGATGAATTTTCTTTTTCTTTTTCTTTTTTTATTTTTCTTTTTTATTTTTTTAGATTTTTATTTTTTATTGCTGAAAGTATTACAAAGGGTATTACATATGTGTCCATTTTTCCCCCCCGC